TAAATAATTTTTTTACTTTTATTTTGTTAGTGTTGGGGGGGCTTGGGGGAAACATCAGGGGTCTAAACAGACCCCTGACATTTACCTTTTAAAATAGAAAAAGAAATTGAGGACACAAAGTCCTCAATCTCTTTTTCTGCAGTCTCTGTTCTAAATGAATGGAAAGCACTCAGTACAGAGGCTTTCCATTCATTCAGAAACTGTTGATAGTAAAATATTTACTAGGGATGCACCGATACCGGTATTTTGGGGGTTCTCAGCTGCCATTGGGATGTGCGGGATCCCTTGTGTGTTCCTGTGCCTTTAAGGAGGTTGGGCTTCCTCCTGACAAACCTGCACCCAACTTGAAATCTTCTGCCCCCATGTGCTCACAGATGGTGACTCTCATAGTTTAGAGTTAGGACCGCACTATAAGAGGTGCCTTGGCGCGGCTGTGCGGCTTTCACATTTTCTGCAGAAGACGTGTATCCAAACCTCTGTTATTAACCTTAGTGGTAAGACAAGTTGTTTTACATGCTGGTTTGTGAGTGTGCCATGATACCTTTCTACTGTTTTACTGTTCAAAGCCCATTTTGTGTGCACCTTACGGTATAGCTGGTGACGAATTGTTGAGTGCGTTTGTCATTTGTTTTGCTTGACATACTACTATGTGTCCCCAGTTATTTACAGACACTGGAGTGATCAGACGATCACTCCAGTGTTTGTGCTGCACAGAGGATCGGTAAATATCACAGATATTTACCCATCCTCCGCTCAGCCACGCACAGAGCCGCTGTAATCCTGAAACTGATCTCTGATGGCTCTGCTCGCCTCACCGCTCGGTCGTCCTGACAGCTGCGGCTTCTCTCCTCCTTACCGCTTAGCCATCCTGACAGCAGGCAGCGCTCCCTCCTATGCCCCCCTATGTATTTATTTACAAAGTATTTGTTTGTAATGGTTAATTGTGACCGTTAATGATATGCCGTCCATGGCAGTAAATGATGGGTGGCAGGAAATGATGGACAGAATATTATTATTTCCCCCCCCCAAGTGGCGGAACGCCAGGGCCCGGTCGCAATTGCGGCCGCTGCGACCCTGGTAGTTCCGCCAGTGGGAACAAAAGTAGCCGCCCTCCAGAAGGAAGGACAGTGTCAGCACCAATTTAGAGATTATTTGAGGATCTACAGCTGAGGGATAAACAAATAAGCTACATTTACTAGTTCACTATATTTCACAAATTAGGGTACTTGAATGCATTTTTAAGAATTAGCTCCTGACTTTAGTGTCAGTTTAATGACCTGTTTATGTTAAAGGTACTATTTACAAGGTACTCTTGCACAAGAAAGAGAAGACTCCAATTTGACCATGCTGTTACAAAATTGCTACATCTAATTAAACTAAATATCAACCTTGTATGAAGATTTACTCTGTTTGCACTAAGGATTCAGATTAAATTACTTGATCGTACTATAATGACATCCTGTTTCTGTGACTCATAGGGAGAGAGAGCTTCTCTCTTTCATTTTCAGATCTTAACTGAACAGACCGAAGAGAGAAGCTGATTGGTTGCCCTGGACAACTGCTCCAGATTGAATATATTACTTTTTAATTTTTTATGGTGTTGATAAATGCAAAAATTAGGTTTCTAGAAGGTTACAATTGCTTCTTGCAGAGTATTGTTACATGATTAAGTGATTTAAATATATATTATGTTTTTACTATAGGACATTTATTTAGGATAAAACAATTACATTTCAAATACTTCATGTGTTATGTTACTACTTGCTGCTAGACTTGTTCACAGTGTAGCTGAAAGCCCCAGGCAGTAGCTGGCAAGGGACAAATTAATATGACATGAAATATGTTTAACTCTTTTATGAAGATTAAATCTTGTCTTTATTATGCACCATAAACATTTTTTGTTTTTAAAAGTGTATGTAAAGGCACTTTTTGTAGTTTTGGATAGAATAGGGAAATGTTAGACCTTCTGTCAAGTTTTATTTGCTATTGGTGCCTTACCTGGGGAAATTCAACTGCTATATTTGTCCTGGTGAACACTGTGAACAAGATAGAATGTAGGGGGAATCGAGATTTTTTTTTGAGTTGTCACCAGAACAAAGAGTGAGGGAAAAAAATTGTTGCTAAGACGCTAATTCTCTAAGATGGGAATTCCCTCCACTTTGCAGAGATTTCCTGTTGCATCATCAGGACAGGAAGTGGAATCCAGCCAGAAGCCAGCAAACAACCCCCCTCCC